CCTGACGCCCCACTGCAGGCCGGCACTGTCGTGTGGATCGGCATCCTGGTGTACACAGACCCAGCAGGGCTGCGCACCTACCTCACTGCCCAGGTGACAGAACAGAGCCCGCTGGGCGAGGGTGCCCTGGCCCCCATGCCCGTGCCCAGTGGTGTGCTGCCCGCCAGCCATCCGGACCCTGCCTTCTCCATCTTCCCACCTGACACCCCTAAGCCAGCCGAGAACCAGACATCGACAGGGGAGCCATCTGGGCCCATGGGTCCAGCAGAGGGGGTCCATGACAGCCCAGTCCCAGAGGTAACCTGGGGGCCTGAGGATGAGGAACTCTGGAGGAAATTGTCCTTCCGGCACTGGCCGACGCTCTTCAGCTACTACAACATCACACTGGCCAAGAGGTGAGTCGGGCTGTGCCAATTGCCACCTCCAGCCCCGCTTGGTGGTGTCAGCTCACCGTCCCCAGAGCAACCCTTTCCCCCTTAGGTCACCAAGGGAGACCACTGGTTTGAATTCTGTACTTTTGTTCAGATAATTTAAAATAACTCGTAAGGTTGTGAGTTGGGAACCAGTACTTCAAGCAGCCACAGCCCCGGGGAGTGGTCCTGGGCGCTGCTCTGGGGAGTCAGTCACAGGGAACTGCCAGCCTCTTGGCCAGAATGAGGTCCATCTGCTGGGTGCCACCCACTCTGTGCCAGGAGAGGCGAGACTTCAGCCCAGCAGAGATGGTGGCTGCTTGGGTGTTGGCAGAGCAAGTTCGGGATGCCAGAGCTGGGCCCCAGAGAGACCTGACTACCCACAGACTGAGGGCTGACCTCTGAGTTGAGCAGGCTGAGCCAAGTCATGCACGCAGAGTAGGGAAGGGACTGGGGCGGGGAGGGTGGCAGCAGGAGCGATCCTTCTCAGACGTCTCCTCTGAGGCCCACCTGCTCCTGTCCAAGATACATCAGCCTGCTGCCTGTCATCCCTGTCACCCTCCGCCTGAACCCGAGGGAGGCCCTGGAGGGACGGCACCCGCAGGATGGCCGAAGTGCCTGGCCACCACAGGGGCCAGGCCCTGCTCGAAGTGGGCTCTGGGAGACCAACCCCAAGGGACCAGGTGGAGCGCAGGCCCATGGAGATGTCACCCTGTACAAGTAAGGCTGCTGAAGGGACTGGGGTGGGGCTACAGGCAGGGGCTGGGCCGCACCTCATGACCCCTCTCCACTGGGCACAGAGTAGGGGCGCTCGGCCTGGCAGCGGGCATTGTCCTGGTGCTGCTGCTGCTCTGCCTCTACCGTGTGTTCTGCCCGCGGAACTACGGGCAGCCTGGTGGGCCCGGCCGGCGGAAGCGCGGGGAGCTGCCCTGTGACGACTACGGCTACGCACCACCCGAGACAGAGATCGTGCCCCTGGTGCTGCGTGGGCACCTCATGGTGAGCGCAGGGCAGTGGTGGGCGGTGGCGGGTGTCCGGACCAGGCTCCACACCACTGTGGCACTCTCCCCTCCTGCAGGACATCGAGTGTCTGGCCAGCGATGGCATGCTGCTGGTGAGCTGTTGCCTGGCAGGCCACGTCTGCGTGTGGGATGCGCAGACTGGGGACTGCCTCACGCGCATCCCACAGCCTGGGTAGGTGCAGACCCCTCCCCCTACCTCCCGTCCCCCTCCCCCTCCCCTCCCTTCCTTCCCCCTTCTATCTCCCCTCCCCCTCTCCTCACCCACCCTTCTCCCTTACCCTCTTTCCTCCCCTGCCCCTCCTACCTCCTCTCCCTCTACCCTTCCCCACCTGTCCCCCATCTCCTCCCCCAACCCGTCCCTTCCCCATGCTCCCACCCTGCCTCAACCCTCCTCTGGGCCCCACCAGCAGGCAGCGCCAGGACAGTGGTGTTGGCAGCGTGTTTGAGGCTCAGGAGAGCTGGGAACGGCTGTCAGACGGCGGGAAGGGTGGCCCGGAGGAGTCTGGGGACAGCCCCCCGCTGCGGTATCGCCCCCAGGGCCCTCCACCACCTTCCCTCTTTGGGGACCAACCAGACCTCACCTGCCTCATCGACACCAACTTCTCCGCACAGCTGCGCCTGCAGCCCCCAGAGCCTGCCCAGCCAGAGCCCCGGCACCGGGGTGGCTGTGGCCGCGCTCGGGAGTCACTGGGCTATGACTTCAGCCGCCTGGTGCAGCGGGTGTACCAGGAGGAGGGCCTGGCTCCCGTTCACTCGCCAGCCCTGCGCCCACCCTCGCCCGGGCCTGTACTGCTCCCCGCCCCCGAGGAGGAGGGGGGCTTGCCTCCAGAGAAGGGCTCCCCTTCCCTCATCTGGGCCCCCAGTGCAGATGGCTCCATCTGGAGCCTGGAGCTGCAGGGCAACCTCATCGTGGTGGGGCGGAGCAGTGGCCGCCTGGAGGTGGGTGGGGCAGTGGGCGGGGCAGTGGGTGGCTGGAGGTGGGTGGGGGTGGGCCTGGCAGTGGGCAGGGGGTGGTGCGTGCAGTGAGCCGTGAGCCTTCCCGGTCGGAGGGCAGGTGCTCACAGCCTCTGCCTTGCAGGTGTGGGACGCCATTGAGGGGGTGCTACGCTGCAGCAGTGAAGAGGTCTCCTCAGGCATCACAGCCCTTGTCTTCCTTGACAAAAGGTGAGAGCGCCAGGGTGTCTGCCTCAGTGCCATGCCACACTCTGAGGTTGGAGTCCCGGCTCCCCTCACTCGGGTGTGACCCTGGGCCGACTTCCATCTGAGGGTGCCTAGCCCTACACCTGTAAACAGAGGGCAGTCGTCCACCTTGACGGGAAGGGTGACAACTAAACAAGGAAAGTAGGAAGTCCTTAGAACACTCAGCCCTCATCCACTATGACAGGGAGAGTAAGGACATGGTTCCCTTTCTCACCCTGGAAGTTATTCACAGCAACTCCTGTGTGGCCCCAGGTCCTGTTTCCCCCTCAGAAACCTTCCCCTAAGCTCCAGGCTGTGCTGGGGAGCCCTCCATGTGTTTGCTTTTGTTTTTTAAATTTACATACTGTACATAATGCTCACTGGGCATTGCTCTATGTATGTTACATCATTTACTCCTCACAAGCACCTTTGAGGTGAAAATTATTATCCCCATTTTACAGATGAAGAAACTGAAGCACAGAAGCTGGTAATTAGGATTGCACCCTGGGTTCTCTGGCTCCCACTTTTGTTCCCCAGCACCTTGTGCTTCCCTCTGTGCCATGGCCCCTCATGTCCCTTCCTGAACCTGACCAGCTCTGTCTTCCTGTGCCCCCGTGCCTAGCGGAGCTGAGCTTGTCAAGCACCTGGCCTCGAGGCTGGGGACTGAGGGAGAGGTGCCCTGGCAGCTGCTCGTCTCTTTCAGGATTGTAGCTGCCCGGCTCAATGGCTCCCTTGATTTCTTCTCCTTGGAGACCCACACTGCTCTCAGCCCCCTGCAGTTCAGAGGTTAGAGGGCCTGGGGTTGGCGCGTGTCCACACGTGGTGGGCAGTGTGGGGGATGCCTGCAAAGTACTCTCAGCGGTCCCTCACTTGGCCTCTTGCTCCCAGGGACCCCAGGGCGGGGCAGTGCCCCCACATCCCCTGTCTATAGCAGCAGCGACACAGTGGCCTGCCACCTGACCCACACAGTGCCCTGTGCACACCAGAAGCCTATCACAGCCCTGAAGGCCGCTGCTGGGCGCCTTGTGACTGGGAGCCAAGACCACACACTGAGGGTAAGCGTTGCCTTGGTCTGTATGCTGGGGTGGCAGCTTCCTGGGTCGCTCAGGAAGAGCGAGACGTCCTGGATAAATTCTGGAAGGCACTTCCTGGCAAAAGTGTCATTTGGAAAACCCGAGAGAGACTGGTTGCCCACCCACCCCTGTCCCAGGTGTTCCGTCTGGAGGACTCGTGCTGCCTCTTCACCCTGCAGGGCCACTCAGGGGCCATCACGACCGTGTACATTGACCAGGTGAGGGAACTGCTGGTGTGGCACCAAGCCAGGCTCATGGCGCTTGTCTCTGGCCCCCAGGGGCTTTCCAGGAGGCAGAGGGAGGGCCTTTGGCTGCCAGGCACTGGGATACCCTTGTCAACAAGGTGGTACTTTACCACAGTCACCCAATGCCCTGGGCCTGTTCCTCAGACCATGGTGCTGGCCAGTGGAGGACAAGATGGGGCCATCTGCCTGTGGGACGTGCTGACTGGCAGCCGGGTCAGCCACATGTTTGCTCACCGTGGCGACGTCACTTCCCTCACCTGCACCACTTCCTGCGTCATCAGCAGTGGCCTGGATGACCTCATTAGCATCTGGGATCGCAGCACGGGCATCAAGCTCTACTCTATTCAGCAGGTAGGCGGGGTGGGGAGGCCCAGGAGTCTCAGCCATGTTTTAGGGAGGATTCCAGACACTAAGCCTGTCATATCCTCTCCTCCAGGACCTGGGTTGTGGTGCAAGCTTGGGTGTCATCTCAGACAACCTGCTGGTGACTGGTGGCCAGGGCTGTGTCTCCTTTTGGGACCTAAACTACGGGGACCTGTTGCAGACAGTCTACCTGGGGAAGAACAGTGAGGCCCAGCCTGCTCGCCAGATCCTGGTGCTAGACAATGCCGCCATTGTCTGCAATTTCGGCAGCGAACTTAGCTTGGTGTATGTGCCCTCTGTGCTGGAGAAGCTGGACTGAAGGCAGCCACTAGGACTCCCCCCCTGAGCTGGTGTGCTCTGTGGGGTCAGTGCATTGGACTGAGACTGGCGGGAAGGAACCGAGTATCTGTCCTGCCTCTAATAAACTTTTTTTAAAAATCACATCTGCTGTGGGCCTGGTGAGGTACTTGCTTCTTCCCGGAGAGGAGTCCCCTGCCTCAGCACTTGGTTAGATCTGCTCAGCTCATGCGGCAGGAACTGTCCAAGAAGGGTATAGCTACAGGGGTAGCTGGGGAATGAGGGCAGAAACAGGGACCTCTTTAACCATTTCAGAGCTGAAAAACAACTCTGGCCATACCTACTGTCACACAAAATTTCATATGGTGCCACTGAGACCCAGTATCCTGCAGCACTGGATAAGAGTCAGACACGGGCCACAGAACAGGTTCGTTTATTCTTTCAAAGAGCTGAAAAAATGTCAGGTCCCACAAAGGGGGCAGAACCTAGCCCATGATGCACCTCTACCCTAGAGAGGTGTGGGCTGGGCCAGGCCAGGGCTGAAGGCAGCAGGAATGGGGGCAGGAGCCGTGCCCACCTGTGGGCCCCTGCTGGACACAGGCAGGTAGGCACTGGAGAGGATGTAGTGTAAGGACCAGGCAGAGAAAAACTGTTCACGTCTTGTTGAGCGTCCAGAGCGGATCCAGAAGGCTGAGGGGATCATCAGCAGGCCGGGCAGCCCGAAGACCTTGCCCGTTATGGGCCTGCAGAAAGTTCTGCTTGCTCATCCGCTGCTTTCCCCGCAAGGAGCTGTCCAGGGTGAAGGCCTCGGGCGTCAAGGAGGCCAGCAGCTCCAGGGAGGACGAGGGGGGCCCTGGGCTGGGGGCTTCAGGCACCGGCAGCTCCTCCTCAGGCTGGGAGGCCTCAGGCAGGGGTGAGGAGGGAGGGGGTGGGGAGGAGGGAGGGAGCTGGGTGGACTCTGTGAGGCTGGCCAGAGGCAGGCCGGGGGGCTCTGCAGGGCCTGGCAAACTAGCAGCCAGGGACTCCAAGCCTCCAGCAGGCCGGATGCTAAGCTTAGCAATGGTGGCCTGGATAGAGCTGATGGGCACGTCTCCACCGAGGACCAGGTCCTGGGAATCCTGAGGCAGGTGATTCTGGTAAGACAGATGTGGGTGAGAAGAGGGGTCAGGAGGCTGTGGCTGGCCCAGCAGCCCGGAAAGGCTCCTTCCTCACCTTCTGGATGATGCCTGTGCTGGCCAAGGGCTTGCAAGGAGGGGGCAGGCCATGGCGCTGTAGGACCTGCTCCACGTGTCTCACCACCGCCTCGTGGCAGAACCTCAGGTGCAGCTGCAGGGGTGCATTTGGCCACGTCAGCTGGGCAGGGCCTGTCGCCCAGCGCAGAGGTCCCAACCCCAGCCTGCCCAGGCCCTCACCTTCTCCTGCAGCATGTGTTTCCTCTGCTGCCGCATGCGCCGCACCAGCTGAGGCAGCTCCGGGATCCCGTTCCCGGCCTCCACCTCCTGCACAGCCGCATAGAGCAGGGCAAAGGCTCCTGTGCGGCCCACACCGGAGCTGCGGCAGGAAGCGGGGTAAGGCCAGGCCAAGAGCCCACAGGGGCCCTGGGGCAGCTGCCCACCCCTTACCTGCAGTGCACAACGATGGGCGTGTGCAGGGGTCGTTGGTGCAGGTAATGTGCATGCACCTCCTGGATGAAGTGCAGCAGGTTGCTGGGGCTGTCAGGTAGGCCTCTGCGGGTGGGGTGGGGTGGGGCCTATGAGCCAGGCCGCAACCAGGCCCTCCCCTCCCCTCCCCTCCCCTCCCTACACCAAGGAACAGACAGCCCAACACCACCCCAACCACCATCCAGGGGGGCAGACGCACAACTCAGGCCAGGTGGGGAAGTGGAGGTGCACAAGGGAGCGTTTGAGGCTCTGGTCCCGGAACTGCAGGCTCAGCACGCGCTCTACGTGGGTTTCGGTGGTACGGACACTGCTCAGGGCCAAGCTCAGGGCCCCATGCACCATGGACTGACCCCTCTCCGTGGGGAAGTAGCGGGTCACCTTTTGCTATAGGGCAGACAAGCAGGCAGTTACAGCTGGTTTGCCAGGGTCCTTCCACAGCCCCCACATCGTGGGCACCCACCCAACCTCTCACCTTCTCCATCTCAGCCTCAGACACCAGCATGACAATGACGGACACTTTTTGCTCATGCACCATGAGCCAGAAGTCGGCAGCTGTGCCAGGCAGTGGGGCCTGGGTGGCCACCAAGGGCGGGCAGTATGGCGAGAGCCCCTCCACGCAGCTGGCATTGATGTAGTCGTCCTTGCCCGAGCGCAGCACCACCCGGTTACTGTCGTAGGGCATGACGTCCTGGTGGCGGTTCTTCAGTGAGTAGCAGCGGGCAATGGCAATGGAACGGCCGCGGGCATCATGTTCCTGTGCATCTTGCAGCTCCCGCCAGACGGTGTCCAGAGCCCCCGCATCCCCCAGCTGGCCCCGAAAAGCCTCCAGCTCCTGCTGCAACTGCTGAAGCCTCTCAGGATGCTCGTAGGGGTCCCGCTCGATCAGTCGCAGGGCCTGGGGCCGACGGCCCTCTGCTGCGTCCACCTTGGTGGGCTGTAGCAGGGGCTGCCCACCCCCTGGAGGCTGGGAGCCACCATGCTGGCTCTCAGGGCTGGAAGAGAGCAGGTCTGCAGCCGCAGAGCCTCGGCGCAGGCATGGGGGCGGCTCTGCTGCAGGGGGCCGAGGGGTTACAGGGCCAGGCCCTGGCGATGGGGCAGGTGAAGGCACCAGGTGGGGACTGGGGGCTGGCTGGCTGACAGGTGGAGGGCCTCGAATGGAGATAGTGGCTACTTGGGGGCCCAGGGGCCTGGGGGATGGGGCAGGGCCATATGCCAAGGTGGGATGGGGAGGTTGGGGGGGCCCAGGACTGGGGAAAGGCAGAGCCCCTGAGTGGGGGGGCAGAGGGTCTTGAGCAGGGCCTGGGTAGAGCTGGGTGTGCAGGGTGGGTGGCAGCTGCCCAAGGACACTAGGCTGAGGGGCAAAGGGAAAGGGGGGCTGGGGAGGAAGGGGCCCCGGGGCCTGGGGGGGGAGGGGCCTTGGTACCTGGGGGGGAAAGGGCCCTGGGGCCTGGGGGGGATGGGGCCCTGGGGCCTGGCGGGGGAAGAGGTGTGGATGCTGGAGTGGAAGGGGCTGCTGAGGGGGCTGTGGTCCAAATGCCGCTTGTGAGGGATGGCGCTGGGGTCCGACCTTTGGGGCTAGAAAACCTGTGGGGATCCTGGGAGGAAAGCGGTGCTGGGCTGGGGGTGCTGTGAGGGGTTGCTTGGCCTCCATAGGGTAGGTGTAGGGCGTGCCCAATGGCTGTGGTGGGGGCATTGGGAAGCAGGGCTGGGCAGGGGCAGGATTTGGCCTTGGTGCCATATGGCTGGGAATGGGAGCCTGGACACTATCTACTGTGGTGGTGGCTGGCCGGACCCCAATGGCCAACTCAGGGCCTGAGAACTGGGGAGGTGGGGCTGAGGGCAGACCTGTAACTGGTGGGGGTGGCCCTACCCCTCCGTAGGGACTGCTCACCACACCATGCTGGGGGGAGGATCGGGGCGCAAGGCCCAGCTCTGGAGTGTAGGCAGGGATGGGATAGAGGGCAGGCCCAGGAGCCACGGCCATTGCAGGGTGCCCTGGGGCCTGGGGAGGCCTGGGATGCAACAGTGGGGTAGGGCCTGAGTAGGTACCAGGGGGCAAAGGGCTTGAAAGATAGTGGGGTCCTGGGCCTGTGGAGCTGGAGAAGGGGCTGGGAGGAAAGTGGAACTGGGCAGCTGTTCCCAGGAAGGTGTCAGGTGGCCGTGGGCCGGCCATCAAGTCAGGGGGCAGGCTGCGCAGCTCCTCAGGCAGATCTGTCTCCACTGCCTCAGCCTCCTCCCTGCGGGGCAGCAGTGGCTTTGGGGCTGTGGGCCGAGGTGGCGGCTTCTTCTTCAGCTCCCTGTGGGGCAGGGAAGGAGTGGGACCAGGGCACCCATAAGCCAAGCTCAAGCCTGGTCTGGAGCCGCACCACAGCCTGGGGGTCACACTCACCTGTCCAGGAGCTGCTGGCGGACAGCCTCACGGGCCTGGCAGGCGGACTGGGCTCGTTCCAGGAGAGCAGCCACCTTGCTCTCTAGGTCTGCGTAGAAGTCTTTGCCCTCCTGGGACTTCTTCATCAGGTCCTCGTAGGCTTCATAGGAGGCCACCAGGGTCTGCAGTGTAGAGTTCCACCTGGCCGGGCAGAAGGCCAACATGAAGCGAGCAGCAGGCAGAGGGCAGGATGCCGGGCAGAGGCACAGGGGCCGCGCACTGACTTGTGGTCCAGTTCGCTGAGCACCCGCCGCACAGCTGCATACTGCACATTGGCCTCTGTCAGCGCTCGGAGGACATTGTCCTGGGCAGCCAGGTTCTGCTCCAGGTACACCTTCAACTGGTCGTACTTCTTCAGCTGCTCCTCAAATAGCTTCTGAGAGTGTGTGTTGGGGAAGGACACTCAGGGCCTCACCACCTAAGAGTGGAGCCCAAAGCTGGAACCCCCCACCCTGCTCACCCCCCACCTTTATCTCTGAGTGGTCTGTGGTGACCAGCGAGGCAGTGATGTCATCCTTCTGGATGAGCTCACGCAGCTGCTGCTCCAGGGACACGCGCTGGTCCCGCATCTCCTGCACCTTGGCCAGGATGCGTTTCAGGTTCTGCAGCACAGCCTTGTCCTCTGGGGACAGCAGTGGTGAGTGAGGCTGGAGAAACCTCAGCTCTACATCTCCCCCTAGGGTGGGCGAGGCTCACCTGGGGTGAGGGCTGGTGTGGGCAGGGCAGCCCGGACCTGGTCCAGAGGCCCGCTAAGCAGACGCAGGTTGCCAACGTGCAGATTCATGGCGCGGTGCAGCTCACTGTTGGTGAAGGAGGCCTTCTCGTGGACCTCCATGTATTTGGCCCATTCTCGCCTCACCTCTGCCAGCTCAGCCTTGGGGGCTGCTGGGCTGGCCCCAGCCTGGCCCACTGCCTCCTGGAACTTCTGCTCTAGCAGCTCATCTTCCTCCAGTAGGTCCCTGATGTCTTTCAGGGAGGCCTCCACATCTGTGAACACGCCTGACAGCACTGCGGTGGGGAGGGGAACAGTTCCTGAGGCAGGCAGACCAGGCCCTACTCTGGTCTGTCCACACGGGGACAGAAATGTCTGCTGTCAGGGGCATATGTGCAGCCCCAATACTTCCTAAGCTCTGGGCACACAGGACACCATGATCCGTGGGGGCGGCTGCTTGTGCCAGGGCCTGGAGAGGTGCAGCCTCCACCCTCGGTGAACAGAGGCTGCCTCAGGTAGCTTCCAAGTTCCTGCCCTCCACCTGCTTGCTCTGACCCTTGCTCACCTTGCATGGATTGGACAAGGTTCCTGACAGTGTCGGGCCGGACACTGAGAGCTGCACACTTCTCCATGAGCTGTGGCGGGATGTGACTGTACACATCAAGGTTATCCACTGTCTCAGGATCCAGCTGCATGGAATCCATGAACTGGCTGTGGAGGCAATGGGACCAGGTGGGCACCGAGCACTGACACCACCCTCCCCATGTAAGGGAGCCTGCCAGGGTGAGCCTCCCCACCCCCGAACCAGGCCCGAGGTCTGCAGAGGGCAACTCTCCATCCCCAACTAACCTCCACCACCAGGTCTGGCCTGCACCCACTGAAAAATGAAACACAAGGGACAGCCTCCTCCCGAGACAGTGACTCTCACCTCACAAATCCAGCCCACAAGGCCCAGGGGGTGGGGGCTGTAGGTGTAGAGCTAGGAAATCCTCTGCATAAGCAGATACTTTACTACTCCCTGCCAGCACAAGTCTGGTGTGCACCCCCCATGCCTCCCACCCCCCTACCCTGCACTCACTCCAGGACCTCATTCTTGTCCTCAATCTTGGCCATCACTTCTCGAAGCAGCTTAGCCTTTTCCTCACTGCAGGGGAAGCGAGAGAGCAGTTGCTGGAGGTCTGTGGTCTCTAGAGACACCATGAGCCCACCTGTGCTAAGGATAGGGCCAGCCCCTCCCACCCACCTGTACAGTGATGAGGCCTCATGGGCAGCCATGGGTACCAGTTTGGCGAAGATGTCAGGGCCCGTGACAGCAGGGTCTGTGGGGTTCACTGGCAAGGGCTTCACCAAAGGGGCTCCTGGGGAAAAAAAATGCGGTGTTAAGGCCCACACAGAACCCTGGATGAAGTCTGTGCCTCTGTTCTAGCCCCCCATCTTCAGCCCTACCACAATCCTCAGCCTCTCCTAAGCTCCTAGACCTTTTACAGGTTGAAGGGTGTCCAGTGCTGGGACTGCCTCATGGTAGATGAAGTCGTTGTCCTTCTTGGCAGAATTGTACCTGGGATGGGGGAAGAGGGAAGTCTTGGGGGGTCAGCATATATCTAGGACCCGCCTCCCGAGAATGCAGGCAGGGGGATAACCCTTCAGGACTAGAGTGAACCAGAGCCACTCTCAACCCACCCCCCAGACTCACTTTCCCCCAATGACATCCATAGCAAAGCGAAGCGCATCTTGCACAGTGTCAGGCTGACCCTGTGGGGTAGGGATAGGGGTGGGGCCTCAGCACCAACCAAGTCCCCGCCAGGCTTCTACCCAACCATGTACCCTCAGGGCTTTGAAGGGATAGCCAGGCCCTTCTTCAGCTTTACCTTGGCCAACTTGATGGCTTCATTGAGCTTGTCCAGGGCACTCTGGAAGTATGCAACCTGCAGGGGGCAGAGCCTGGTCTATCCTTCCCAGCTTGGACCCCAACTCCTTCCTGCCTCCCCACCTAGCCCTGCCATCAGGTGTCCCCTTAGAGACAGCCAGGTGCCAGTCAGTGGCACCAAGATTAGCATCACACCCTGTCCCCTATAGCTTAAACTTCCAACAAGCTATCCCCTCTGTGGGGAGCCCAGCACACCACCTCAGACTCCTGGGAATGGGGGCTCCGTGTAGGACACAACACGTTAGGGAACACCAGTTCTCGCAGCAGGGTGGTGGCCAGGGGCGTGGGGGTGAGAGACAGAAGACCACCTGGTCCATGTAGAGGAAGGGTCGCACCAGGATCTCACTAGCAAGCTGGAACCAGCCCTGCATCCCCTCCTTGCCTGAGCTCACTCACCTGCTCCCCAAACTTCTGCTGCTCCTCTGCCTGCTTCCCCATGTGTAGCTGGAAAAGAAGGAGATGTCACTATTTGTTTCCCGGGCTGTGGCAGCTCAGCCCAGCTCTCCCCAGTGGCTGTGGTGCCCTCACATGAGCCACGGCTGCAAAGTAGTAGATCTTCATCTGCACGAGCTTCTTCCAGTCCTTCTGGATCCGGCCCAACAGTGAAGCGGTGTCGGGGTTCTCCAACGCACGGCATGCCTCCTTGTAGTAATCTACAACCTGGGGGCCCAGTCAGTGGAGGATCCGGAGTAAGCCAAAGGCCTGCCCTCAGTCCCTAGAGGACCACCGTCTACCCCTGCCCCTACCTGGGCACTGATACGAGCCACCAGAAAGCTCTTCCTGTTGTCCAACATCGACTTCTCCAGGAGGCACTCCTGAGCCTGGCCCTGGGACAACAAACGCAGGCACGTTCCTCACTCACCCTGAGACCTACTCGTCCCCAGCAGCTGGGCCACAGAGATCTCCTTCCCACCAGCCTCCCTGACTCCAGGAAGCACAGCCCTGCTCCTGGTCCACCTCAGAGCTCAGAAGACCAAAGCCAAGGCCCCCTGCTTGTCCCTCACTGCCTGTCGAGACCTGGCCCAGCCCAGGATTCCAGCCCTAACTGTCCCTTCCCGACCGTCTCCTCACCAGCATGAGGTTGACATTGAGCGTGAGGATCTGGCGGCTCATGTCAACACTGTAGGCCTGGGAGAAGTGCTCACGCAGGTAGGCAAAGGCGCCGGCTGCACACTGGAAGTGGGTGCAGGAGACCTTCATGCCCTGGGAGGGGGAGGAGGGGAGGATGGCCAGAGGCAGAGCCAGAGAGCTACCTGTGCCACTCCCATGGCAGATCCATTCAAACCCTGGAAGCTGAGGACACTCACCACTCCTCCCTCCTAAGTCCACATGTCCCACCCACTGCCACTCCCCTCCTTACCTCCTCAGACACCCGCTTGTCCATGGCCCCCAGCATGGAGTGCAGCGCCCCTGGGGAGGCAAAGGACGTGGTGTCAGGACAAGCCTGGGCTGCTCCCCAGGCTGCCTGACCTGTGCCGAGCATGAGGCAGAGGGGTACAAGATTGTCATCTACAATCAGGAAAACAGGAGTCTGGGAACTGGGCGGGGAATCCAAGGGCGCCAAAGTTGGAGCAAACGGGGAAACTCAGAAGTCAGGCCAAGCTCCTCGGTCTCCCAATCTGTACTTGGCAGCAGCTGGGGAGGAGAGGACGGAGTGGCTTCCCCCAGTAGCCCCCAGCCTAGGGGTCCAGTCCTGAAGCTTCAGGGATACCCACACAGGACCGTGGGGCTCCCCCATGCTTCTCCCGTAAGCAGGCTGATGATGGGCCATCAGGGGTGAGAGAAAGGGACATTCAGGCCAGCCTTGTTCTCTCTCTGCCTGAAGCAACCCAAAGCCATGGGGCAATGGGGAAGGTCCAGCCAGAGGAGAAAGGAGGCCATCTCTCCTGGCCAGAGCACACAGTGGCCACACTGTGGCAGCCAGCCCAGCAGAGGAGCTGACAGAGCTGTGGGGAAGAAGTTGGAGGGGTCAGAATCCAGGTTTCTTCCCTCCGTCAGTTCACTGCCTCTGTGGCTGGTAGCTGAGCTGACACCCTAGGCCAGCAGGGCTGGGAGGCAGGGCCCTGAAGAAAGGCTAAAAGGGGTCAGGCAGCTCACCAAGGTTGTAGAGAATGCAGGCCTGCTCGTACTTGATGTCCTCGTGGGCCACAGACTTGCCTGAGAAGATCTCTGTCCTGCAAACATGCTATCTGGTCAGCTTGAGGGAAGGGACTGGCCAGAGCCCAGGCGAGGGGACCAGTCACCCCAGTTTGGGGTTGACAGGAGGCGAGGGAAAGAGCATCTCCCCACCCAGACACTCCCCAGGGTCCCCCCAGCGCTGCTGGGTCTCACCAGGTGACAGGAACAGCAGCCTCTTGGCCCAAGCCCATGGGGACCCGACTCTGCAGATAGTGGAGCTGGCCTAGGTACTTGCGGAGGACGCTGCAGCCCTCAAAGTCCCGTGGAACACGGACGGCATTCTGGGGGCAGAATGGAGAAGCAGGCCTGCATCACTTGGGGTAGCGATCAGGCAGCCCAGCCCCGCAGAAGCACCGGGAAATATGCATCAGACCTGGGAGACTGCCAAGAAACCCACTGCTACTCCCGCAGTCATTCAACAAACCACCGCTCTAGAAAGCAGTTTACAACATGTATTAAAAGTTTTTAATGTATTTAACTTTTGACCCATAGTTTTACATCTAAAAATTCACAGTAAGAGATGTCCAGAAATAAAAATGCTAAGATGTACATGCAAAGATATTTATCACAGCATTATTAACAGGGTCAAAAACTGGACACCAACAACATTTCCATTAAAAAGGATAGTTTACGTCAGAGCTACCCACACAAGAAAATACTCTGCAACCATGAAAACTGAAGACAAGGATCTCTACTGATATGTTAAGACGTCCATGATATAGCTGAGCCAAAAAAGGATGCAACAGATGAATGGTATGATTTCATTTATATAAAATCATATAGATATCAATATCCAAATAGGTATCTAGGCAAAAAGAAAAGTTACCTAAAAGGCTGAATACCAAAATGTTAACTAGGATTTGAGTGATTTCTGTTTCTCTCACACACACATACACGTATGTATGTTTATTTTTAATTCTTTATAGTAAACAGTTTCAATTTTTATAAGCAACAAAGCTATTCATATGGGGGGAGGACAACCCTACCCCTACAAACATAAAAAGACACTATACCCTGCAAGAGGCAGGTGTACAGTGAGGGACAGAGTGCCACACCCTGGTTTCAGCAGCCGAGGGGCCCAGCAGAGGCTGGCCAGCCCCAGCCCAGACACATCCTCCAGGGCACCACACTCTCAGCGTGGCCCCAAGCTGCCAGCCTGGGAGGCCCACAGAAGAGACCTGCAGGCCCTCTGAAACACGAGCGCAGAAGAGTCTGGTGCTGGCCCCACTCTACACCACTTCCCAGTAGTGTTTTGGGGAGAACGTAGCTCCTCTCAGGGCCTGAGTCTCCTCTTTAAACAAGTAATGATAACCCCCGTTGTGGGAGGGCCTCTAGAATGGCTAGTGCCCGGACAAGATGTGTCAGGGCCACACTGCTGAGCTGCCACCTTAAGGGGCCTGTCACACACGGCTTCTCAAATCTAATCATTCTTACTGATCTCCCATCATCTTCTCTGCCATAAGTAAAAGATCTGTACTTAACATTTTTCTTTAAATCAATTTTTTAAAAAACTACAGCCACATCTTAAGCAGTAACATCTGTGAGATAATAGGTTTGATATGTTAGCTATACTACTCACTCAAAAAGAAAAAAAACAAAAAACCCAAACCCGTTGCCATCAAGTCAATTCTGACTCATAGCGACCCTACAGTAGAACTGCCCCACAGGGTTTCCAAGGAGTGGCTGTTGGATTCGAACTGCCGACCTCTGGTTAGCAGCCGAGCTCTTAACCACTTGTGCCCCCAAGGCTCCATACTACTCACTAAAACACAAACATATTTAAAAAAAAAAAAAAATTAGAATTCTGGGAGGATGCTGCCATCAGCAGGTCTAGGTTCCCCAACCCTCACACACACAACAACAAAAGACCACTGGAAACACAGCAGGGTTGTTATAAATTTAAGTAGTAACCACTAAGAAATGTCTAAAAAAAAAAATACACACAAAAGGAGAAGGGAATCAAAATGGTTCATTACAAAAAAAGATATAAAACAGAAAAGTTGGCAGTATTAAAGAAAATAAGGAACAAAGAAGGTGAAGACAGACAAAAAAACAACAAAATGGCAGAAGTCCTTGTCAGTGAATTTAAACAGACTAAATCCTCCAATGAAAAGGCAGAGAGTGGCAGAACGGGTAAAAAAACACAATCCAACTATATGCTGCTTACAAGAGACACATCTTAGGCCCAAAGACAGAAACAGGTTGAAGATAAAAGGAGGGAGATGTGCAGGAACCATGTGAGGCAGCGGCTGGGCAGGGAAAACGGTGGCTTCAGGGGAGAGCCGGACTTCAGGCGGCGGAGGCAGCGCAGAGGAAGCGTATATGACCTTCTACAGTGAGGTGAAACAGAGAGAGAAGAGAGATTCGGTTCCAACATCCAAAGATCAGACTAAAAGACTGACCCGTCCTGGTTCCTCCTACTTCAATTTGAACCCATTTGACGTTCTTCAGACAGATCTTGAAGCGACAGATGAGAAAATAAAAAAGAGGTTTCAGCAGTTATCTAGATTGGTGCATCCTGATAAAAATCAAGATGATGCTGACAGAGCACAAAAGGCTTTTGAAGCTGTGGACGAAGCTTACAAGTTGCTACTGGATCAGGAACAAAAGGAGAGGGCCCTGGATGTAATTCAGACAGAAGAACACCTGGAACACACTGTGAAAGAGTGAGAAAAGCGATTAAAGAATGAAGGGAAACCTACAAATGCGGAGGAGGATGATCCTGAGCTGTTCAAACAAGCAGTATACAAACAGACCATGAAACTCTTCGCTGAGCTGGAAATTAAAAGAAAAGAAAGAGAAGCCAAAGAGATGCATGAAAGGAAGCGACAAAGGGAAAAAGAAATCAAAGCTCAAGAAAAAGCCAAACGAGAAAGGGAGTGGCAGAAAACCTCTGAGGAAAGTCGAGATGGTCATGCGGATAGTTGGCGAAATTTCCAAGCAAACACAAAGGGGAAGAAAGAGAAGAAAAATCGGACCTTCCTGAGACCACTAGAAGTAAAAATGGAGCAGCGTGAGTGACCACCTGGGATCACAGCCACGGAACCTTCCTCCAACCACCTCCCCTCCTGCTTTGAAGGACTCATTCTTTCCTCCCACCCCTACCCCAACATAGAGTAGTATTTGCTTTTTAGTCCATTTTGTTTCAATACAATTTAATATCAATCAGAGTAATTCTTTTGTACGTTGAAATGAGGAGCTCGGTTTTAAAACAAAGACCTTCCCCACCCCCCCACCCCCAGAGCAACCAGGATTGGAAGATGCCACCACTGGTGCTCCTTCTGTTCCCACAGCCTGTAACAATGTTTTGTACTTCAATGAATTGTGATGGTTAGAACTTCATGTATAGTTTATGGAAATCATCCAATTAAACATGTTGCTTAAAATGGTGTTGCAGTGACTTCCGAGACAAGCCTGGACCATCTTAGGAAGCCCCTTTCCTTCAGTAGCTTGTTTCTGAGCATGGCATCCTTTGAAGCTGCAGATCAGACAGGGAAGGCAGTGCAGGCAGGCGGAGCAGTCACTTAATGCCCTGGCCACCCCATGGTGTTTGGCATGTGCCCTCCTAATCTGACTGACCAATAAGCTTGGCATGAGGCTCTGAGCCATGCAAACCTACTCACTTTCCAAAGAGCTAGCTATCCTCTATCCAGTACCATTGTGTCCTAGCCTGTCTGTATTCGTTAGTAGTAAAATTCTGTATGTGGAATAAATTTTTATACCCAAACCAAAAAGAAAAGAAAAGGATGGAAAAAATATTCCATGCAGAGTAGCCAAAAAAGAGCTGGAGTGGTGATTTTAATATTAGCCAAAACAGACTTTAAGTCAAAATCTGTTAAGAGACAAACATATATAATGATAAAAACGTCAATTCATCAAGAAGAAATAATTATATATGAACCTAACTACTGGAAGCCCTAAATATATAAAATAAACACTGACAGAATTGAAGGGAGAAAGAGTCCTACAATAATAACTGGAAGACTTAAAGAGGACCTGACTGACACTATAAATCAACTAAACCTAAAAGATGTACACACCCACTCCGCACAGTGGTCACTGACTTACCCTTGCTCTCTGTTCGCTGAAATCCCAGCTCAGGGGCTCAGCAGTGGGGGAAGCAGGGCAGTGTGGGCTGGGGGATGCCTGCATGCCAGGCTAGTGCGGGGCACAGGGTGGGACGTGGCGAGAGCAGGGAGGGAGGGGAGGTGCAAGCCCAAGGAGCCGCAGCATGGTGCTGGAGGGTTCAAGACTGGGGTTAAATACCCTGGGGCTAGTGCTGGTCCGTGCACCCTGGAAAAGCTGCACACAGCGAGGGTGTGTGGGTCGACAGGGTTGTTAATGCGCAAAACAGTCAGATAAATTTTTTTACTCCAGTTGTAAATGTGAAATGTCAGATAATGAGATAGTCGATAAGTGAGGAGTAAGTATAGAGAACACGCCACCCAACAACAGCCAATATACTCTTCTCCGTTGCACACGGATCTCCAGAATAGACATTGGTTACAAAGCAAGTGTCAATAAATTTTAAAAAGCTGGAATCGTACAATGTATCATCTCTGACCACAAACGAGTGAAATTAGAAATTAACAGAAAGAGAACTGGAAAATATAAATATATAAAAATTAAATAACCGATGAGTTAAGGAAGAATAAAAAAGATAAATCAGAAAATACCTAGAGTTGAATGAAAATGATACAACATAGGAAAACTTATGGGACACAGTGAAAGCAGAGCTCAGAAGGAAATTCATAGCTGTACACGCCTACAGTGAAGAAAAAAGATCACAAATCAATAACCTAACTTTAGAACTTGAGGAACTAGAAAAAGAAGAGCAAATCAAACCCAAAGCAACAAGAAGGAAGGTGGTAACAAAGATCAGGGCAGAGATACATGAAATAGAGTATAGAAAAACAAGAGAATCAACAAAACCAGAAGTTGATTTTTTGAAAAGATCGGTAAAATCATGATCAAGTGGGTTTTACCCCAGGAATAAAAAGTAGTTCAATCTTAGAACATCTGTCAATGTAATTCACTACATCAACAGAACAAAGGAAAAAAACTACATGATCATCTCAATGAACACAGAGAAGGCATCTGACAAAATCCAACTTCCTTTCATGATAAAAACATTCAACAAATGAGAACAGCCTGTTAATGTATAATAACACACATACAGACCAATGGAATAGAACTGAGAGTCCAGAAATAAATCCATACATCTATACAACAAACCTTTAGCTAGTCTGACAAAGAGAGAGAAGATGCAAATATTTAAAAT